ACTCACAATGCTGTATTGTATATTTCAAAGTTGCCAAGAGGGCAGATCTTAAAAAAAAATCATAACTATGTGAGGTGATGGATGTGTTAACTAATCTTGTGGTAATAATTTCCCAATATATACATATATCAAATCATTACTTTGTACACCTTAAACTTACACAATGTTATATGTCAGTTACATCTCAATGAATGCAGGGGGAGAAAAAGATCTAATGAATGACATAGAACTAGCAAAACACAATGTTATTTAATTAGAAAATGTGTAATCTATTCTCAATGCATAAGAGAAAAATAATGTAAAAGATCTTGGTGATGGTGATGATTGTAGTAATGACGGCACTTCTTCCTTGAATGTAACTTCTACAGGCTGTGGCAATCACCCCATAAAAGCCATCCATTGGAAGCATACAGTTTCATGGCTTTTAGTAAATTTATACTGGGATCACACACTTTTTGGCTGAAATTTTTATTGACATAATTGTAAATTCATATGCAGTTGTATGAAAATAATAATTTGGCAAGCATTCTGCCAAATTTCCCCCAGTGGTACCATTTTGCAAAACTATAGTATAACATCACAACCAGGGTACTGACATTGCGATAGTCCGCTAATCTTATTCAGGTTTCTCCAGTTTGACTTGCACATTGGGTGTGTGTATATTTAGCTCTATACCATATTATGACATGATCAGGTATTTTAAAACCTTTTTTTCCTGAAAACAGGAAAGTTTAACACAATTCCTATCACAATATTCTCAGAATATTTTTTTTTACTTAAAAGTTTTCTGCATCAAATGGCCTTGTGTTCAAAATATTTTAAGTTGTTTTAATGTTTTATGACCCTGTAAGTTATGCCCTTCTTTCTCATCACTACTCCAGAAAAGGAGGTATTACTATCATCCCGTCTTTGGTGAGGATGCTGAAGCTCAGTGAGGCTAAGTGACTTGTCCATGGTCACACAGCCAGTCCGTGGCTGAGCAAGGGCCTGAATTTAGGCAGTCTGTCTCAAGAGCCTAATCTTGTAGCCACTATGCTCCACTGCCTCATACCATTAATAATAAGTTAATGTAGGCTGTGTAAGGCAAGTCATAAAAGGAGACCTAACTGCATACAATTGTCTGCACAGAAACATGCACCTGAATATTCATAGAAGTATTACTGATAATTGTCAATAATTGTAACAACCCAAATGTCCAGTAACTCATAAATACGTAAATGGTAGTATATTCATAAGTGGAATATTAGCAGAAAAAAGGAATTAAGTTCTGATACATGCTATAACAGAGGTGAACCTTGAAAGAAGTAAATAACAAAAGGTCACATATCCAAATAGTATGATTCCACATATATAAAATGTCCAGAATAGGCAAATCTAAAGAGACAGAAAGTAGAGTAGTCATTGCTAGGGGCTGGGGGACTGACTGCTAATAGATATGGGATTTCTTTGGGGGGTGATGAAAATGTTCTATAATTAGATAGTAATGGTTGCACAACTCTTTTTAAAAAAACACTGAATTGTACACTTTAAAAGGGTGAATTTTGGGGCCAGCCCCATGGCCGAGTGGTGAAGTTCTCACGCTCTGCTTCGGTGGCCCAGGGTTCACCGGTTCGGATCCTGGAAGCAGACATGGCACTGCTCATCAAGCCATGCTGAGGCGGCGTCCCACATAGCACAGCCAGAGGCAGTCACAACTAGAATATACAACTATGTACTGGGGGGCTTTGGGGAGAAGAAGAAGGAGAAGAAAAGATTGGCAACAGTTGTCAGCTCAAGTGCCAGCTTTAAAAAAAAAGGGTTTAAAAGGGTGAATTTTAATGTATGTGAATTATATCTCAATAAAGTTATAAAATTACATACAATTGACAAGATATTTGGCTTTCCGAAAATATCTCATGTCTCATGCAAAGAAATGTAGGTGTTGTTTGAATTGAATTGTATGGGGCTGAGCATATCTTTCTGGAAATATGACGCCGGTGCATTCTGTGTGGTTGCCTTTCTCTCATAGATGAGGACACTTAATTAGACAAAAGTTCACTTTGGTGTTTAGTGGTGAAAAGAGCCTTCAGGACTTCTACAAGATGATTCATTTGACAGGTGATAGGTCAAGGGACTTGGCGAACAGGGCTCAATGTATAATTGCAAGACGCTTTCTCAAATATATTCAGTTACTCAGCCATTTTCCAATTAATTCAGAAGATATAACCCAAGCGTTAAAAGGAATGTTTATAAAAATTTCCATTCTTGATTAAACTGCTGTCAAATATATAGTTTAATCTAGAAATGAGGACAAATCTCTAGATTCCAATTCAATGACATAAATTGCTAAATTATCCTTTTTATTTATTTTTTTTTTCATTAAAATTTCTTGTCTGTGTGGAAGCAGAAGGACATTGGAGGATATATAGAGTAAGCTTCCAAACTTTGATTTTGTTAATTTTATATCTCCATTGTTGTTATCATGTCTCAGTTTTTAAAATTGAAATGACAAAGCATCTCATTGGGATAAAGCAAAGAATTGTGTCTCTGTGTGCTGATATTGTAGTACATTATAGATGTAAAATAAGGTTGAGAAAGAAATCTTTATGATGCCCAGAAAAGTGGGAAAGTTAGGGTCACAATGTTGGTGGCTCTCCTTGTACTACAAGTGGCTGCAGTCTTTACAAACACCAGCAGAATTTTTACAGACTTATTAATGGTAAAATGAGGGCAGATTTTTAGCATTAGTCCCTATGAATTTAGGATTTGTAATTTTGGACACACAGGGTGAATTATTTGGGGTTGGTTTTATTTGAATTTTATTTGAATTTCTAACTTTACATAGTTCTAGACATCAGACATTCTTGTTGAGCAATGGTTCTCTTCCTTTTTATTCTGATGAGAATGTTGGTTGCTGCCAACCAGACCCCATAGCTCGGGACCATGGCTGATCACCAGGTGGAGGAGATTCGGTGATCTGGAAGCATTCAGCTTTAATAATGTACACATGCTATTGGACTCAAGCAATAACTGTAGAAATGACCCAGAATTCTACTTTGTAGGAGTCTGATTACAGCACTTGCTATATGGTATTTGCAAGAGACACAAGTTAGACACTCGTGGTAGAACCTTCACCCCATCCAGCCGTGGACATGTGGTTGTCATAGAAAGCAATAAGATAGAATAAAGGTCTGGTTGTCCTCACAGGAGAATCGAGTAGCTGGCTTGTTTTTACCCTTTCCTGTTTCTCTTAACACTTTGTGAATCACTTCAGCTGATAATAGATTTTTATAGTAGTATCGCCATAATATTTGAAAAGTTGCTCACTAAGTTTGAGTGTAGTACTCCATCTTTGCTTTTTAAATGTATTTCCAAAAATTGTAAATCTTTTCGAACAAATTAGAAATATAGAGAATGGGATATTTTGATTTGTTTGTATTTTCAGCTTTGCTTTTTATAAATAATTACTGTTGAGGATATACTATATTCAAAAGACAAACACTGGGTTGTGAATTTTTGCTGGTGGTCTGTTCTCCAGGGGCAGAATTGCGTGTGGTCAGGCAGACACAGCAGATCTCCTGTTAGGGTACGCCAAACAGAGTGTCAATGTTTTACATTTGCTACTTTTACTATTTTGAAATTTGTCACAGTTTGTTCTGTGGATGCTAATGGTCTAATTGAATGATAGTTTTAATTACTATTGTCATGTCCCATTAGCCATTACAGAAAACCTGCCTTATTGACTCGCTTATGTTCTTGATAGAGAATTAAATCTATGTCTGGATTATACTTTAATGGAAACTATTCACACAACTCTCAAGATGGGTTTTTATTATAGTATTTCTCCTCAAATTGCGGTATTTTTCATCTTGCAATATAGAAGAAAAAAGGCTTAAAGACTGATAGTGAAACCCAGAGGATATGACACGACCTGTTTCTGAGTTATTCCTCCTGTTTTCTTCCCTGTCTGCACTCAGAAACAAGGGCACTCATTAAAAAATATCTTAATTATTAGTTGTGCTGCTTCCAAAATAAGGCACTAGAATCTGAAAATAGTACAATTGGTGCCACACCCAGATTCCACCCCTAACATACTGTCTTCTTCCTATTAATTTATTTTTTAATCTGTTTGTTCTTTCAGCACTTTTCTCATTTTTGTTTGAAGTTTCTTACTTTGAAGTTATAGAATTTTCATATTTGCCATTAGCTATAAAGTCTCTCAGCTCTTTTATAACCTTTCATGATTTTTGCATTAAAAGGATTACTTATAGACACCCTCTAATTACTTTGGGTGATTATTAGCTTTTTGTTTGTTTTACTGCATATATCATAACAGAACAAGAAATCATTTCTGCAAATAAAGTGTCTGATCGATCATAAAATTAGAGTGAACTTCTTAAAAAGTAAATTCAGTTATAAAACATTAATTCATTTACATTCACATTTTAATGTACCAAACATAATTGGTGAAAGAAAAAAATCATATATGGATACTTTCCAAACATGAGGGAAGAGCAAATCTTCCAATCTAAAAATATCATATAAATTACTTGTTTTGGTAAAAAGAGAAGCAGGTACATTTTAGAAGGAAAGCACATATTTTAAACATTGTACTCTAGATTTAATCTACCTTTATTCCAATCCAGCCACTTTAAATGGTTACTTTTTCTCCTACAAAGTTATATATATACATATGTATATATGTGTATATATATATATATATATAATTGAAATTAAGACAAAGTTGTATTTAATTTTGGAATGTCTACCACATTATAGCTTGGAGAAAAACATATTGGCAGAAAACAAAGCTAGTAGACATTTTGCTAATGGCTTACCTTTTTAGTGGCTATGATTCAATTATATGTGTCTACTGAAAATCAAAATTCAAAAGGTTATTATTAACTTTGGACACTAAATTTTCAATATTTTGAAACTTAACCTGTTTACTCAAATGTGATTCTTATTTCAAGTAGGAAATTTTATAGACTTCAACTAATTTTTAATATATAATTTAAAAACATTTTTATCAAGTGTATAAAAGATATGGCATGTGGCATTTTCAATGACTAAAAAACCATGCATGAGATTTTGTTAGTCAGAGTATTTTTAAAAACACCAGTATAATTTACTACTGACAGTTCTCCTTCAGGTTGGTTTTTTTTTTTTTTTTTTTGCTTTGTTATAATTTTTCATACTTTAAATAATCTTAAAAGTTATGGTGTGTCATATTTAGGGGTAAAAAACTTAGTTATTGACATTGTCATTTTTCTCTAATGGTAAGAAGTCAGCCTCCTTAAGGAATGGAGTTTGCTTGATTTCTGTTCACAACCCCATTGTAAAAGATACAGTGAATGTAGGTGAGGATGAGATGTATAATAAGACAGGTAAAATACTAAATTGTTTCTCCTCACCCAAACAAAGCCACGGGATACTTTTTACTAAAAGCTTCATGCTGTAATTCTGTGTGCATGTAAATTGTTACTTTGCAAACCCTTTGCTACTTGGTGTATCTAGTGATTGCATAATCGCACCTCTCGTAATATTTCAGTTCACACTGAAGTAAATGAGGAAAGAAAAGCAAGAAGTGTCAGGGTGGGAGGAGGTTGAGTGCATTCAGAATGCATGGACGAGATTGCAGGCGTTGCCCTCAATTTAATTAGCGCGGCCGTTCCTTCTGATCCTGTCCTCGGGTCAGGAGCTCTTAGAGGAGGAGAGGAGCGCAGTGGAGCTTGGTCATTTCCTCCAGTCCTACCTTCCACTAATTTTTCTCTTTGTTGTAGGGGTGGGGGGAGGAAAGAAAAAGAAAAGAAGAGAAAAGTAAATCAGCCTTAGAAATAATTCCTTCTCGCCCACATGCTCCATTTTTAGGGCCAAAGAAGTAGTTTTCTGTCCGGAGCTGGTTGCCCTTGTGGCCTCGGTGGTCAGTCAGCAGTGGACACGTGGCGCGGTGCGCATGGCCGCGCTGTTTACAAACACGTGCCGGCTGAGACGTGTAGCCCTGAGAGTGGGCGGAGAGCAGTGCTGTTCCCGAGCCCGAGCCCCAGATCAAGGTGTCTCCGTCAGGATCCGCCCAGTGTGCGCTTTTCCTACCCAAGCCTCAAAGGCTGTGCCTTCCTCAGGAGTAATCCTTGTTCCTCTCCTGCAGCAAACGGCACCAGTTGCACCAAACTTTGCTGTGACTCTGGGCGGTGCAGGCAGGTCGTGCCTCGGGTCTGCTGTGATTGACAGGGCCACTGTGGCTGAAGCGCAGCCTGCCGCCCAGCCTCGCAGCGCCTCTTCTAAAAGAATGCATTTTCATGTTTGTAAGCATCTTCAGATGCAAGGGAATTCATAATCTGACTTGCCGGACTAGACACTCCGGCCGCAGAACACGGAAGAAGATTATTTGATCATCTTCCTCATTCCATCCTGTTCCCACCTCCCTTCCGTCCGTCCCCCAGCCACACTCCCCCCTCACCCCTCCACTATGTCTAATTCCGCGTCAAGACCTGGGGTTAAAGGGAAAATTGGTTTCTATACTTAGGGAATTGTTCTTCCTTTCCAAGATTAGATATTAAGTTTTTCATTTATATTTATCAATAAAAAGAAAACCTTGAGTTTTAAAAAATTAAAGTGCCAAGAATTCAAGTGTCTAATCCTGTGTATCTGGTATCTATTTCCTGGTGCTTTTCATTGTAACTTGTAAGCTGACCAGTTGGAATGTTTAAAATATGAGTAAATTTTGAGTTCTTTTTGTATCACACCTAAGGATCGTTTTAGATGGATGTCATCACCTATTACCCAAAAATAGAAACCTTCTCGCCCAACAGAGAATTGAAATTAGATCATCAAAAAATGAACTTGCAGCTAATTAAAAAGTTGGCCTGTTTGAACTCTTCCTTCATAGAATATATATACTTTTGTAATTACACTACCTTTCTAAAAGAGAGGAAAGATCAGAACCTTTGAAATCTGGTACTATAAATGAAAGGAATTTGTTTAACTTTTAAAAATAAAGGAACTTTTTCCAAGAGATGAACCAAGCACCAAATCTATTTTGGTTTAAGTAATGTTTGGTGTAAGACAAGTTTAGATCTTGAATAATTTTGAGATTATCTGTCCAAACCCATTATTTACTTATGAGACTTAGAAATTAAGTTTAGCTGTTTAACATCTGAATCTACTGGCATTTGGAAGAAATTGTCAGAAGAGTGACTCATTTAACCAACACAATGAAATCTAAGGATGGACGTTTTTCCTCTCTGTTGCTGAGTAAAAGTTCCTTCTGGATTTGAAAAGATATAACTTGTTCAGGGTTTATCAGTTATAAGGTATTGTACATTTCTAATACATTGAATTAAGATGTGGTGAAAGTAGATTATAGGCTTGAAAAGATTCTTTTCGTTTGCTTGCTTTTCATTGTTTTGGCCTGAAGATGATGTGTTTGTCTTAATCACCCTAGACCCGAATAGTGAAATTCTGTGTGAAATTTCTTATGAGTATAGTTTCCTATTAAGAGCAGTGTGATGTCTGAACACTCTTGGGTTTTCACAAGAATCATCTTATCCCATACTAGAAAATTAATATTTTACCCTCTTCTTTTACCTTTATTGGACAGTAAATCATATATGGTTATAAGCTGAAAGTGCTGAGAATTTGATAAAGGCTACAAGTTAATGCATTTCAGCTAAGAGAGGGATTTAAATATAACTTTCATTTGACTGCACTTTAGTTTCACTTGAAGTGGTAAGCATGCAATAAAGATTGATTTCTTCGATGGCTGGGCTGCCTTCTTAGAGATGAGACTGAGTGGCAATTGTGTCTGCATTATAAAATATCAAGATGGTAGATTGAATATGGGAGATATATACCAAGAAGCAATGTGGAAATTTAGGTTGTTTATCCCTTTTCAGTTACTACTGAGTGTGTGTGTGTGTGTGTGTTTGTGTGCACGTGGGCGTGCTTGCTCACATGTGTTTTGGACTCTTGATATATGAGTTAAGTCCTCATTGGTAGAAATGGTTAATTAAACAAACCATAGCAAAAATCTCTGTCTATGAATATAAAATGAAAAAATACTGATGTCCTGCATCTTTCCAAACATCATGAAGTTGCACAAAATCATCGGGGTCCTTTGTATAAACTGCTTTTAGATGGTCCTTTTAGAAGACAGCTGCCATATCAGATAGGAGTGACACACAAAAACACACAGCCGCTCAGTGATGTGAAGTTTGGCGCCAGCGTGTTCCCTCCTGCGTAGGATCCAGGTCACCCAGATGCCTTCCCATGTGGTCAAGCACACGTGGTTGGAGTGTTTACACACACTGCTCCAGAATCCTGAACACCCATGATGTAACCGTGGGGGGAGAAGGAGCCGTCTGTATCTCATTTTGATGCCCTGGGTCACGGGTCTTGATACGGAATAAGAAAGCACTGATTGTAGTGAAACGTAGCTGGGGGGAACATGGCCGTGCAGGAACGAGGCGGCCCCCAACCCCCGCACTGTTTATTTTAAACTGTCGTTACCACCCAAAAGGAGCTTTCTACTTTGAACTTAAAATAGTAGCTTTTAACCAGGACAAGTGAGTAAGCGCTTTAGTAACCAAGGACTGGCTGACGAAGCTCTTGAGAGTGTCACTGCCTGTCGTAACCAAGCTGACTCAGCTGTTGGGGAAGCTATTATGGCCTTGTAACCATCACAGCAATGTTACTATGTACCTGTGTGGGAACTCTCAGTTGAGGTAGAGCTGCCATTTTCTCTTGTTTTAGAATTGTTTCTCACTCATCATTTCTGTTTCATTTTTTAAAATATGCCATGCCTACTATATATAGAAATGCTTTCCAAAATCTCTAAATATGTTTGTATAGAACTACTTTGCTTAACATTATAATCTGTTTAAGAGCCTATGTTTGCAACAATATGGGAAAAAAAACCCGTCTGCTCTGGTAGACTCATGAGAAAGGAAAAGAAAAGGTAAGAGATAATTTTGGAAAATATGTAATATTGAAGTGGTGGTATTCACTCAAGTAAATACCAGCAACTGTGTTTAACATGGAAAAGAGCCTAAAACAGTGAAAGGAAAACATGTTTAAAAAAAGAAGGAGAATATAAAGAGTTTTCAGTGAATAAATGCCCTATCACAAATTATGAGCATTTTAAAGATCTGTTTCGAACTCTCTTTCCTACTTGTAACAAATTATCAAAGACTTTTTCACCCACTTTCCTTTGAATTTTTGACAGTTTTTTTCTGGACTGTGGGTTTAATTCTGTGTATGTATGTATGTGTTCATGTGTGCGTGTACATGCGGGCATGTGTATGTGTGCGCACATGTACGTGTGTATATGTGTGTGCCTATATGTGTGTGCATGTATGTGTATGCATATATGTGTGTGCTTTTATATTCTAGACCTAGCTGTACAAACTAGAGATGTTTCCAACTGCTTATGAGATACCACCACCTGGATGCCCACCTCCTGTACTCCTGGGTGTTCTCACTTCTATGCTTTTTTTCACATCCTCTTCCATTTATTTCTGCATTTCGCCATATTTTTTCCCCAAAGGAATCTGCGTTGGCTCCTTATATCTAATGGATCAAAGTCCATTCCTAAACAGCTAGATGTCTTTGGACAGTCTGGTCTTTGGAGTCAGAAGGATCTGGTTTTGAATCCTGACTTTGCTTCTTTTACGCTGTGGATGTTCTTCCTCAGTGTAGCAGCTTTAGCCTCTGCATCTCCTTCCCCATCTGTAAAATGGGAGCAGCTAATCATTCTTATCTTGTGTGCTGCTGAGAGGGTCAGATGACTTAACATCAGTAAAACATGTAGCATATTTCTTGGCAAAATTGAAATGACTGGGTGAGTATTTATTCACTCCTCAACCAGATGTTGAGCATCTATGTCTTAGGAAAGAAGAGAGCCATTGTCCTTGCCCTTGTGGAGTGTAGAGGCTCATAGGAAAGCATCAAGGAAATCCTAACGAGATGGAAATTGTAGGATTCACAGACTGGTCACGTGAGGAATTTCCCAGGGTGCTTCCAGCCCTCTGCCCAAAGGTGGGATTCCTCAATTGCCTGCATGACCCTAGCGCCGGAGTTGGCATAGCGTTCTCAAGGCGGGCCTGACAGAGACTACACGGGACTGGCAGCATAGTCTCTGAAGAATGCCTCCAGGGAGAAGAGATGAAAGATTTTTTCCATCCCTTTTATTGTGTCAACGAGGATATAAATTATGAGCCCATAGTGTCATCTCTTCATAATCATGTTTTGCTATCTTTATTAAGTACACTGAAAGGATACAAGCTTGTCCATGGAAATACAAAATGATAGCATGTATGATTTAAAAACTACTACTGATTGTAGATGTTACTTATTCTTACTCTGTTTCATATCCCATTTTTAGGAACAGGAACAGATACTTAAAGATAGATGATAGTCTTGTGGTACTAATCCCGGGAGCTTCCCATGAGAATGAAAATTCCTTACATGGTGGTGTCATGGGTTTAGGGCCCATGTGAAAGAGGGTTTGGAGTGTCTCCCACTTAGTTGACAGTTTAAAATATTATCAGCTATGTATGTATCAGTAACTTTCATTCATCAAGATTGAAGTTTCTTTGAGAGCCAGGATCACATCTTATGTGTCTGTTTAATACCCCACAATAATTAGCATGCAACCCAGTGAGTAGGAGACCCTCAGCATACATACATACTTGCTTCCTGATAGGCTGGTTGCCATATATAGGTTGGAATTATTCTTGAGTACCATCCTAAGTCTGAACCATCATTTCTGGGAAATAAGAAACGCAAAAGGGAGATGTTTGATTGGTTAGTTTCTACAGGGACTTTTCAAAAACTACAGGTACATGGTAACAACGGAAAAAAATGATTTAAAATAATACAATCAGAGGTATGTCTTTATTTTTCTCTCCTTCAATAACACATTCAATTTTCAAAATTATCCATGTCAGACCATACCTTCCTGAGTCCCCACCATGTAAGATGCGAAAATTAGTGTTCCTCATTTCCATCTACTTTTTCTCCCCTGCCTTCTGCCAACTTCTGTATTCCATACCATTATTCTGTATTGCTCAGTTTATAATATTTATATTCTGTTCTGTATCTAGAGCTATTTCTCCTGTGTTTGTTGCTCAAGGCTAATTGAAAACACAAAGCAGCATTTACAATGTTGTGGTTATAATAAATAGAATCAACTATGATACCAAGTGGTACGGTTGAACATACAGAGGAGGAAAAAATGATCCCATAGCACTGAAACTTGGTTTGTTCCAAGGATAATATTTTAAGCATCAAGGTAAAATGGATTCTGTTTTCTTAAATTCCTTTAATTCTTCAAAATTGTGCCATATTTTAGCTTCTTTCACATTTGGATTTAGACTTTCCTGTGAACTTTTAATTTTTCTTGACAATTCTAATCTCTTTTGTTCTTCTTGGTAGAAGAAACATATGTTTTCATCATTTCACGGTGATTTTTCAAATTTGTCAGTTATGCCCTTTGGCGAATGAAATGTACCTTCTTCTTAAAGTCGCTCTTCTCTGTGCTCTCTGATTCTTTTCTTCTTTTCATTATTCTCCTGATTAGGCCCACTATTACCGTAGCCCCATGTCTTTCTCTGTATTTAAATCTTTTTACTGGCAAACATCCCAAGGTCTTTTTGTTTGTTTGTTTGTTTTAGAAATGGTGTGTAGGAGGCAAACTGAGTCCTTGCATGTCCAAAATGCCTTAAATTTTTTCTCAGAGTTAATTGTAAATTATTGTGTACATAATCCTGGGGTCAAAGTAATTTTCCCTCAAAACTTGGGAGACATTAATATATTGCTATCTTTCATCTAGTGTTGTTTATGAGATATCCGATACAAATTTGATTCCATCTTTTTTAGATAACTTTTTTCTTATTTAAATGTTTATTAGGATCTTTTTTCAGCTCTGAAATCCCACCAGAAAATTAAAAGCTTACAGGAAACTCTCAGTCCAGCGTGTCTAGACAAGGCTGGTTCTAAATGCACCTTCTCGCACTGAGTGAGCCCGAAGGAGCTGGAAACAAGCGCCGTATTCCACTGTAGGGACCGTCCTTCTATTCTGACCACGACTATTTCTTCTCCTCCATTTTTTAATTTTCTCTCTTTATGGAACTCATGTTAATTGTACAGTTGACCTCTTCAATTTATTTTTCTTGTGTATTAAATTCCCTCATATTTTCCATCTGTTTTCTCTCTGTATTTTGTTCTCCCCACTCTCATGATTTTTTTCTGTTAACAATTGAATTTTAATTTCCAAAATGTCTTATGTCCCCTGATTGATTCTTTTTAATGGCAACATGTTTTGCAGCTCAAATCCTATGGAATTTATTAACTTTTGTAGGAAAATTAGAGAAACAAAGAAAAAGTCAAGTTTTATCTTAACTGTCTGTAAGAAATAAGGCAACCAACCTTAAAAAAATGTGTGTGTGTGTACACCATGTATGTTATATGTACATAGATAATGTATACATGGAGTTATACTGGTAAATTTATACTGGTATTTCACTGGTACTTTATTTGTACTCCTTTAAAAAATACTGGCAGTAGAGCTGGAGTCCATTACTGACCAGTTTTCAAAGCTTGGTGTGTGTGGCTGTTTGCCCAGCCCTCAGTATCCCCCTCTCAGCATCAGTCCTACAGTCCACAGCATCATCACTGACTGTGGTTGTCAGACCCAAGGGCAGAGGTGCATCCTGTCAGAGCCAGGGTTGACTGACTGTCTGATTTCTGGACTTTTGAAGATACTTTGTTCATCTTCCTATCTTTTACCTATTTTGCTGCTCAGTAACAGGTACTAGAAAGTAAGAAAATGAGGTAAAACTTAAAGTTCATCATTTTGCATTGCCCAGCAATCTAAAAATAAAAGCAGAATCCATAAGCATGTAATCTTTTTCTGAGAGCCCCACGTCTCTAACTTCAGGGAGTGGAGGGAGCAGTAGAAATGGCAGATAGACAAGAATATTCCATCTCTCCAAAAAGTATATTCACTCTGCCTTTGAAATATGTCCACAATGGCACCGCTTCCCAGCACCCCACAGGTCCACACTCTTCCACGCCACCCTCGTGTCCCCCTTGAATTTGCGATACGCTCCTAGGGGGTCTCCGGCTTCTGGCTTTGCTTTACCTCCCTCACCTCACCATGGTCTTCTTACCCAGAAATTCAAGTGGTCATTTACAAATTAAGTCAGATCACGCCCCTCCTCTGCTTAAAACCATCTATGGATCCCCGTTTAACTTGGACTAAAAGCCAAAGTTCTTTCCATGGTCTACAGGGTCTCAGGTGATCTGGCCACTGTTCCCACTTCTGATTCCACTCTCGCTGATCCCCACGGCTTTCTTGCTGTCCTGGCACCAAGATGAGCATCCCCTCTCCTCCAGGGTCTGCAGTTGCTGCTTCGTCTTCCGGGAATGCTCTTCCTGCAGACATCCTCCTGTGTTGTTTCTTCCCTTCCTCTGCTCTCTCTGGGAGGTTTGCTCTTTCAGGAGTGTGTCCCTAACTGCTCTACCTCATGGAGCTGCCACTCTTTACCTCGCCTTGTTTTCTTCCATAAGGTTTATCATCACCTGGTAGAGTATTTACTTGGGTTTTTTTTTTTTTTTTTTGCTGCTTTTTAAAAAGATTTGTTTATTGTCTGTTCCCCCAGTCGATGTGAGTTCTCTGAGAAGGGGATGTTGCTTGGTCACTGACGTGTGGCTCAGCACATGGAACGGCAGCTGCACATGGTAGCCCTCAGTAAATATCTGGCAAACGTATGAGCAAATGAAAATGGGGAAAAAAAGAAAAAAGGGAGGCAATGATATAATTTTACTTTTACTGCTTTTCTCTGTAAGGCTACCAGTGTTTCTCTCCTTATTTCTCCCCATCAGAAATATCAGAAATGTTGATTGATATTCATTGAGCACACAGAGGTGAATAATGCTTTCAGATCCACATGGTGT